TCAATCTGTTAGACGACATCTGGATGCTTTTACCCGAGGTCGAATCATTGGGAAGTTGGAGGAAGGCCGCAGTGTGACAAGTGTGGCTGCAGAGTTCGGAATTGCTCTCAGTATCGTTTCACGACTTTGGAGACAATTTCAAAGTACAGGAACACAGCTATCCGGGGGTTTAGTAGTGTCGTCCACGAGGAAACCACACCCGCAGATGACCGGTATATGCCTTACACGCCAGAAGAAACAGGCGGCAGACAGCGGGAGAAATCGCTAGACACACGACACAGGCGACTGGACGACCGATATCGCGTTTTTTACCGTGTGCCAGAGACTACACACGGTGGTGGTCTTTTGCACGACGCCCTGTACGGTGTGTACCTCTAACACCTGCCCATAGGAGAAGGCGTTCTCTGTGGTGCCGGGAACACCGGAATTGGAGAGACAATGAATGGGGACGAGTACTCTTACAGATGAGAGCAGATTCAGTCTGAGTAGCGATTCTCATCGCATACTCATCTGGAAGAGCGGGGAAGCCGCAATCATCCCTCGAACATCATTGAAAGGGACAGGTATGGAGGTGGCGGTGTTCTCGTTTGGGGAGGCATCATGCTTGGTAGTCGTACAGACCTTCACATCTTCGACGCAGGTTGAGTCAACGGGACCCGTTATTGTAACGAGATTCATCTTCCATATGTGCGTCTTTTTAGAGGCGTTATGGGTCCGCAGTTCCTTTTCATGGACGACAATGCACCATGTCATCGCACAGTAGCTGCCGAACAGCTCTTAGAGAGTGAGGATATTGAACGTATGGATTGGCCGGCACGATCTCCGGATCTCAATCCCATCGAGCATGTATGGGATTTTCTAGGCAGACGCTTGGCAGCTCGTACCTTACCACCAGTAACGATTCCGGAGTTTCGATTGGCGCTGCAAGACGAATGCGTTCGAATTTAGAGCGCCGTATCTCCTTGTTTTTTAAAACCAGCAATTGTATTTCAAAGCTACCAATGTCAATTTCAAACGGAGAAAATTTCAACGCGGCTATCGTAGCATTAAGAGGATTTTTGACAAATGCTAAAGTTGCTCTGCTGTTTTTAAGTTCCTGAAACCTGCTGAGAAATGCTCTCCTCATATTTAAAATTATTGCTTTAAAATGGTATTTATCAATAGAGGAATAATTTTCTTGGCTATGCTTCAGCTGGCTCGGAAAGTGAAACAATGTTTCCCTTTCAAAATCCTGTGCAAAAATGAAATAATTTCTTTTCGAATGTTATTACTTCGAATGTTGTTTCGAATGTTATTTGTTTTCGAATGTTATTCAAAAAAATTAAGTTCCCTTTCCCTTGTAGTTTACGATTAAGCTGATTTAGATGAGACGTAACGTCTATCTTGAAATGAAAGTTTTGAATCCACTGATCGTCTGTTAGTTCTGGATAGTAAACGTCCTTTTCAAGAAGAAATTCTTTAATTTGCGGAAAAAGGGTCGCGAAACGTCTTAAAACGTTCCCTCTTGACAACCAGCGTAGCTTGTTATGAAGCAGAAGATCAGCGTACTCACTCTCCATTTCAAATAAAAATTCTTTGAATTGGCGATGATTAAGAGCTTTAGCTAAAATGGAGTTGATAATGGTAATCTCTAATTCCATAACTTTACAAATTTCTTCCGGAAATGTTTGCGCACAAAGCGCTTCTTGGTGAATGATAGAATGGCAAACAAGTATCTCGTGATTAATTTTTTCTTTCAAAATAGCAAAAATCCCTTTTCTTACGCCGGTCATACTTTTGGCCCCATCTTTTGAAATCGACACAATTTTATCGAGGGAAATATGATGTTTATCCATACACTCAATTACAGCCTTGGCGATATTTTCTCCACGCGTATGACCTTTGAGTGGCAATAATCCTAAAAGTTCTTCTTTAGGGCCTGAATGAGACATAAATCTTACAAAAAGTGAAACTTACGTTGTATCATTTATGTCACAAGACTCGTCAACTGCTATTAATAAAGCCGAAACCAATTTCAGATCTTCGATATACTGGGTGGTTATATTCGAACACATTTTAATTGTTCTATCTTTAATGGCTTTGGCAGACAATGGTAACTCTCTAATTCTTTTCAGAATATCTGCTTTGTTCTTAAAATCCCGAAATAGCTCTTCGGATGCATTTATAAAACAATTTTTTATGTATTTGCCGCCTGTGCACTTTTCCTCTCTTAGCAATCTCTGGCTACAAACAAAACTTGCCATATTAATATTGCTGGAAGATGCATCCACTATTAAACACAGAAGTTGAGGACTCTTGACTCTTCGAAGTTCCGCAACTGCTTTTCTTCCTGCATCGCCGGTAGGATATTTAGTGCTAAATGACGCGTGCTTTCTTGTAAAGTGTCTGTCTAAATTTGACTTCTTGTTATGTGCGAATTTCTCCTTACAAATAAGACATGTCGGAAGTCCATTCAAGTTTTGAATATTGGCAAAATTCTCGGTTCACTCAACTTTAAATTCGCGGTTTTCATCTTCCGTTTTTCTTTGCTTTTTTTTTGGGGGGGGTAACCATGTTAATTGGGGTAAATACAATTTTATTAATATATGTAACTGCACTAAAAAGAAAAAAAAATCCATCATCAGAATAACAAAACTTTTAATATGACCAAAAATGGAAGAAAATTTCCAACATTTGGACAAACAGAAGTTATCGAAAAATCGATTACAAATTTTGTACCGGAACCACAAACATGAATACCTATAAGATGTGCAGCTACATTAAAAAATACAACTTTTTAATAAGACAGGAAAACGGCAGACACGGTAGATAAGACAAAACTGTTTACACTGCAACTGCTGCTCTGTGATGCCAATTTGTACCTTCACTACTTTATAAAAAGCATGCACGCGCATGCCGGTAGCTTGTACGGGTTATGTATGTTTACGAAAACTAATAAAATTAAAATAGATGTTCGTTACGTATTTTTACAACAATATAAAATTTTAATTACCTGTCTATCTTTTTACTCAAACAAAAAAATTATACATGATCTCGATTTATAGAAGAATTTTAATTTATCAAAATAAGATGTAATTTTTTTCTTACTAAGTTTTTTTTAATGAAAATATTATTGCGCCTTCCGTGGCTATTTGTACCAGAGCCGCACGTAAGGAGCCAAAGAGCCACATGCAGCTCTGGAGCCGCACTTTGCCGACCACTGGCGTAGAGGAAAGCCATGGTATTTTTTATATTTTACACACATATATGTACGTGCATCTTGAAATATGTCCAAGAAACCAAAGCAGTATATTAAAAGAAACAGATTACAGGTACAAACTACGTTACGGTATTTTCGTTAAAGAAATACCTCATTTTTACGGCAGTTTTGGAGAATTTGGGGGTCTAGGTTGAAGAATTAAAAAATTGTATTTGTTGACAACTACAGAGAAATTCTCTCAATTATTCACTACCGCATTTTAAGAGCAAGCAACCATGTTTTGGAAAGAAACGTTGTAGCCGAACGAAGTAGCATCATTTATTTGAAATAGCTTACTGCAATTGAGAAATCTTTCGAGCACTATGACAACAGGCCGAATGACACATTTCCGAACTCCAGTAATGACTTGGTGACAAGCTGAGCGTACCTACCTACCAGTATGCAGAGAAAAGTGAGAATTAAACGGACCTTGTGTTTAAGTCATCCACCCATTAATCAGAAGAAGCTTTTCTATGCTGAGAAGATAGTGCACGTGTTTCTTTCAGAGATAAGCTGCTCGAAAAGTTTTCTGATAATGATAAGATCCTATAACTTTTTTCTGAAATGTAATTTTTTAACATTCACTTCAAACATCATTTAAATATAACTCAAAAGAGATTGGCTTGAATTGTGTGATTATAGCAGCACACACTAGGATCATTTGAATGTAAGCCAAGTTGCTTTTCTAAAAGACGTTTGAAAGGAAACTGGTGCGCATTTATGTTACGATAACAGAAACGCGAAAAACCTCATGTAACTAGCTTATTCCAAAACTTGCAATAGAACCAGAGACAAACAACTTTGTGTTTTGCGGTTTTAGCGGCTTGAAACTAGTTGCCCTATGGGAAAGGGACAGACAAATCTTTGGATACTGGTGTACATTTCATTCACCAAGCAATTTTCGGCAGCTGACTTACATTTGAGAATGCCAAATGATAAAACAGATACATTAATTTGGATTGAATTAGTTCTTAGTTTTGTATTCATTAAATATACAGATGAATGCACATGTACTTTACCATTGTTTATTTTTCACAAATGAAAATTTTCACCAAAGAGCATGATTTGGCTCCAATAATGGGTAAGCGTAACGTCATATAACGTCTCTGGCTTGGCTTTATTTAAATTTGATTAATCCTAAGCACGCCAGCTTATTTTTTATAAAGAAAGGTACTAGTTAGATTCCATTTCTCTGTTTTTCCCTAAGAGTTTTTTTTTTTTTTTTTTTTTTTTTAGGGAGGGTGGAAATTAAAAATTTGGGACTTGCCTTCTACAGAATAAAATACAGGGGAGTATTTTCAAAGCTATGGTATCCTGGCTTAAGAAAAAGTACGCATTATAAATGGGCGCGATTCCTAAATAGCATTTGTTGATTATATAACTAAACAAAGAGCGATTTGCCCTTTCTGACTTGCATCGGAATGATTGACGCAAGATCTTCGCCAACTTTCATGATCAATGGGAAAGTACATAAGTACCCGAAACTGTAGTTATAACTAATCCGTAAATAAATTTCGCAGAACATAATAAATGTTTTTAAAGCAATATATTTTGAAAATTTTAACATTCGTGTGAGTCATTCAGACAAACTTCCCATATAAATCAACGAATATGAATTTTTAAGTAGTTAAACGAATATTTCAAAATGCAGAATTTTATATCTAAGACAAATAGTACTGAAATGATTACTTACATAAACGCTTTATTTGTATTTCAGTAGTTCCATGGCCTGGTAATTTATGATCAAACATCTCACTTCTAGGCAGCGTTTTCATGTACAGTTGTCCGGCGGAAGTTATGATTCCCGTCTTTCTAGTTGTGGGTGGATCTGTGTTTCTGTTCTCCGTCGTGCTGCTTCGGAAACTTAGCAGGATGGCAAAGCAAAGCGAGTCCGATGAAATCTGCTATAAAAAAAGTTTTATGGTCGCACTCATTGGTCAACTTGGCTGGTTTGTTGCAGGTAAGAAAGTTAAATTTGTACTTATTTATGCCAAACATAAAAAACTCGAACAAATTCATCTACGTAGACTCTAAACTCCCTTTTTCTTATTTGAGACTACTTTCAAATAAGGAGTTCCAGAAGCGCGAAGTAATTTTGCCGACGTTTCTGAGTACCTGTTACTTCAGAGGTAACTAGAAGGCAGCCTGGCTGACTTTTGCAATATAGATTTAAAGCAGTTATTAAAACAGTAACAGTAAATATAGTCGGTAGCACATTTTGTAAATCGTAGGGCAGTAAGTTAGGTTAAATTATTAAGGCAAAAGCACTTCCGGGCTTTCTGTTTAAGGGGAAAAATTCCCTTGCGAAGGATATTTTAAGGGAAACTTCCATGCAGCCAGCCTGTTTTCTGAGATTTTAATCCATGTCAAACTACAAGTGTTCAATCATCTCACTGCTTAGCCGCTGTTGAGCATAAATAGCAGAAATTCATGATGGAAACACATCATCACTTGGGTTAAATAAGCGCAGTGAAGATTATGAACATTTTTGTAAGAAGGCTGTTCGGCCAAAGCAAGTTATTGCCATTTGGGCGCATACCAAAGCTTCCGGTCTCAAATAAGACACAACACGAATAAAGGAAAAGTGCAAAGTTTTAGTCATGTATACATTTTTAAAATATCAAATACTTGGTGTAAATAATAATATAGTTCAAAATTTTGCTTTTCCTGCAAAACAAATTTGCATTAATATATAAATAAATATATAGCGGTATCTATGTATTAACGCAACCACTTTAGTAGAAGTTGCCAAATTTTCAGAATGTGCCAAACTCTGGCAATCATGCTTATAACAATCATTTAGTGGACCAACGTCGCCATTTTCGTACGCGTTCCTTTTTTTTTTTTTTTTTTTTTTATTCCAAGTTCCAACGGTTATTATAAACAATTTTGAAGCCCAAAGAAGCATCACCTAATGAAACTTGTAACAATTTTAACACAATCAGGACAGAAGTAGTCAAACTACAGTTTCTTTCACCACTAAGAAAGAAAGAGACTGGGAAACTAATGTGCTACATGTTGAAATTCAGAATGTGCTCAGTGAGGTTTCCTGTACAGTGGAAATTCGGATCACGAAAAAATTTTGAACAAAAAATGCCTTGGATGACAAACGATGTCTCGAATTACGAACATTCAACTTGGCAACTTATGATTTTGGAAGGTGTTTTGAAGTAACCTGTGCCACATAATTAGCACTGAGGGACTTCGGGAAACTTTTCCGTACTTTTCCGTTTCGCCGACGCAAACCACACCATTTCCGTTTCGCCGGCGCAAATCTCACCAAGCAGACTTTTGACGACAACACATAGTATACACATAAAAAATGTTAACAAATGTTAGTTCAAAGAAATTTTTATTTTGGAGGCATAAATATTTTAATACCGTTTAAATTTTTTTAAATGGGTCATTTGTGTCCTTTCGCCACATAAATGCGGCGAAATATCTTTCCAGATGATGATGTGCCGTTCCTTTGTGTTTCTTATTCTGCCATTTGGTGCTACTCCATAGTCTTTTTATTTTTGTGTGTACGTTCCAGTTTCCGGATCGACAAAATTGTATTTATGGTTCACTTTGAAATGTTGAAAACTTTCCTCTTCCAGTTTTTCAGTGCAATATGATTTCCATGAATCGGAATACATCGCAGTTCCTTTTTTTTTCGATGTTTTCCTTTATTGCCTCTAATATAATACTCACGGATCGGTTTGGCACCTTCACAAGGAAACGTTCTTTTGTTTCACGACAAACTTCTCCAAAGATCCACTGTTGTGATAGAATCCGTGCGTTGTTTTTGCGCTTCGTGAACATACTTTCATCTACATCTACGATCATACCAGGTCCTCCTATTTTGAGTTGTTGACGTTTAAGTAAAGAATCCACACAAACCTATCGCATGCATTCCAATCCACAACTGTTCCGTGACTGATTTCTAACTACTTTTCACACCATTTAACTGAAGTTAATTCTTCACTCCAACCATAAATAAATCTTTCACACTTCAAGAAACTCAATCTCTATGACTCACACCATGTGCCTTTCCATATACTTCTTTTACTACGGCAAAGTTGAAGGGTTGCAGCGCCATTGAACTTCGTCTCCGAAATATAATTACGTTTTACGATTATTATCACAAGTAGCAATGTTAGGCAAAACGCCTTTTTGCTTGAAAGAATCTGACAGATTTTCTTTCTCTGTCCTGGGCAAATCCCAAATTTTCGTTGGTTTTTCATCCATTTTTGGCATATTTGTAAAAAGACGTTAATTTAAGAATTTGCTATGCTTTCATGATACAACATCCTAATTCGCCGGTTCATATCACGTGACCCCAAATGATCTCATTTCACGTAAACTACGCTACAAAAAACTTATTCTCTCAGTAATTATCTACATTAATTTCAAGTCACATCTTAGTATGGAATACAAGTTTAAATGCAAGAACTATTTTAATATTATAATTTAAAAATTCTATGTAAACTGTACACCAATATTGAAAGAAACGATCAATCTGATAAGAAACAGCAGCGATTTGTTTTGAAAATGTGGCGTGAAAGGTTATCAGCGAGGATATTCCGTTAGGCATGGGTTGTACCATTTTTGGCGACTTTATCGCTTGCGCCGAGGAAATGGAAAATTGCGCTGGCGAAATGGAAAAATACCTATTTTTTGTTGGTTAACTCTAATAAACGAGTGACTTACAAGACCATGAAGCCTGCTTTGAGGAAATAATGACCATATTGGGTTGCAGACAGAGACTTAGCAGTTAGGGCATTTTTGTTACCTATGGTATTGTGTTCCTAGGAAAAATGATGGCCTAGGAAGCTAACAGTGAAGTCGGAGAGAAGTTAACTGAGAGTCTTAAAAATGAGCACAACATGAAAGAATTACGACATCTTTAAAAGCAGCAACATAAACCTATTTTGAAGGAAATCTATTTAGAGAAAGATGGAGAAAGAAAAAATGATGCTGATTCTCTCATCCGCGGAATTTGTGCAAAATAGAATAAGATACAAAGATTTCACCCTAAAACAGTAGCGAGCTACAACACAAGCATTTTCAATGACAATGCTAGGTCTCATTTTAGAAATATTTTAAAACATAAGCAACAACAAATTGCACTAAGAATATTTTAAGTAAAGCAGGGTTTCAATGAATCTCAAGCAGAGTCGAATGGTGCTTAGAGATAAAGGAAAAAAAAAAAAAAGATGCCACTTTAAAGAGAATTACCTGATATTTTTAGGGAAAGAAATTTCGCATCCAAATAAGAACATCATCTTCATCACTTAATACTTACGCCATCCACTTTTCTATGTACAAGTATCTGTTTAATATTATTTTATCTTTTTATTTCATATTTAATTATTTCCATTGGTTTTTAATTACGAATTTGTGCACAAAGTATGAATTAAATTCGTGCATAACCAAGATTGGTAACAGTTCACTGCATAACCAAGATTAGTAACAGCAAGCTTAGCCAAGTAATCTCTACAGATAACAAAAGAAAGAGTCTGTTTGTGTGTGTGTCTTTCATTCGTACTGTACGTAAGCTACTCAGGGCTACGGAATTTGGTACATAGGCGCGTCTAGACAAGAGCCAGTGCACCTAAGCGATTTTTTCAAAATTCGACTCAGAATTTTTTATTTTATATTTTTTGATGAAATCGCATCATTTTGAATAGTCTCATTCTTATAGAAATGTGGTTTTGGCAACAGTTTTTCATTCAATGCTTTGTATACGGGACTGCTTACTGTTGAAAATCAGCACTGTTGCCACTTGGAAAAATAAGGGCGATAATTCAGTGCAGTTTTTAAATTTAATGTTTCTCTTGAATACTGGACGTTTGTTGAGAGAAGGCAACGGGAAGTTGATTAATTTATTTAGTAGGATAATTAATATTTATATTAAGGGATATTGCATATTTCATTGTAATTTTTTATATGTAATACAGTTTTGATGAAATTTGTGTCTCTTTTTTTTTTTTTTTTTTTTTTTTATAAAGTTGTTCTGCAGAGTAAAATTCTGTGCAGTTTTTAAATTTAATGTTTGGCCCTTTAGGCACTTTCTGGTACATTTAAAAGCCAGACGAAGGCTGGCCGCGTAGTGGCTAGTACTTTAAAAAAATTAAATATCAGGAGCATGTCAACACTTTTGACAACTTGAAATCAGTCAAAGGTACAACAGTGATGAAAGAGAAATTCTAACATTGAAATGAAGTGTTGAAGCTTAACAATGAAATGAAAACTTTTTGTACTAACTATTGAAATGAAGAATGGTATACTTTCATTAAAAATTGATCACATGAAAATCCGTGAGTTTGGGAAGTGGTAAAATAGCTCTGGAAAGAGTCTAGCAGCATCTACTCATTGATTTACAGTAACACAGTTTTAGTGACTAGGGCGCCAAGGGCAAAGCATAAAATTGCTGAATGAACACTAATATTTCGACTTCCGCTCAAATCTCGGCGAATGGGTATTTTTAATATTATTTCATCATTCATTTCATTATTTTCTCCATGTGTTACGTAACCACCTACCTTAATTTGCTTTCCTTTACTCAATTAACCTAACTTTATGCCTAATGATGTTTTTTATGTTCTTGATATTACTACGTACAATATTTTATAACGATTAAGTTAATCTACAGGTTGACATATAGATTAATTTAGACAACGTTTTTCCTACAGAATGTGGCTGTAAGAAATTTATCAACTTCAATGGAAGTAAACGTAGTCATTGGTAGTAACTAAGTAAACGTAGTCTTTTAACCTAAATTTGGCTCCAGGATATGAAGGGATTTCGAACAGATATCTGACAACAAAGGCCTTTTTTTGTATTCATTCTAATTTTAAAGAAATAACACATTCTCACATACATGGAAATTTCCGATAAAACGTAGTGTCCCAAATTTAGAAAAATGTATATGTAACATGGACATTTCAACAACTACTGCATTATAACAGGTGTAAATGCAATTTGTGTGTAGTAAATATGGAACCAGTTATACAGTCTTATTGTTCTCTTAGGTAGCACACAACTTGAATCTATGTAGAAGACGAAGTAGCGAATTCTCGCTATGTCTTCAAGAATAAATGCTGTAGAAGAAAGGTTTAAATAACCTTTTAACTAAATTAAAACTGATGCACACACTTCGTACTCACATATCGGCACCATTTGTGGCTAACGTAAAGTTCACAGAAAATAAGAAATCACTAATAAGTTAAGATACCTAAAGACTGGCTTCTTAGCTTAATTAAACGATAAATTGGTTGCACACATCAAAGCCAAGCCGACAAATATCAGTATAAACTGATAGGTGTCTAACCGCGACTAGAGAGCTAATTTCAAACAAAAACTCTGAACCAAGTCCACTACTACTCTTTTCGACCTTTTGAAACGCAGCTTAAATACTGCTTCTGAAACACGTTTAGATTTGCATCTACTTCATAATAAATTTAAATTACGGCATGAAATTGAAATCAGGAGGGAAAGGAAAGTCAAACTAAAAATAATTGGTTAGAATAAGATAAATCCTTATAAAGTGTCTTGCTGCTTGTAGACACTGATGAGTTTTTTTAGCGTAGCTTGACACATCCCATAACAAATTTATATGTAGCAGTCTTGGGTGATGGTGTAGCGTAAAATTTAGCTTGAAATTCTTCTTAGGGGAATTTTAAAATAGTAGGCTTTGTGTACGACTCTACGATAAAAACTCTTTGTTTCAATACGAACACCACCTTCTTATATTGCATGTATTCTTCATTAATTTGCCGCAACGTATCAAAAATGCATAGTCATTAACAGGATTTCTTATCAAGTTCCGAGCTTAGAATTAACATAACAAAGCTTCAAAAAACATGATATCCCTACCATTGGCAAAATAAATCAAATTATCACGCTTTCCAGTTCAGTTTGCGTACACTTTTATTTGAAATACACCTTTAAAAATTGAGTTACAGACAGGAAGAGTCTAAAAAAAAAAAAAAAAAAAAAAAAAAAAAAAAAAAAAAAAAGGTTCGTCCTTTCAATGTTCAGCCTTATACTCCAAAAATGTGCGATAACATCATATAATTTTTCGATGACTTGGTTCTCCCTTCTCTAAAAACAACAAGCTTAACTCGACACTCGACGCAGTTTAGTTTCCTTAGAGTTTACTCTACAGTTCATCAAACTGCTCACCTGAGAGAAAAACTGCAGAAAATTTCAGCTCGAAAGAGATAGTTGCGGCCATGTTTCTGGGTGTGAAAAAAAAAAGCGTTTGGTACAGTATGAAGAGCTAATTTTCTTATTAAAACTCGTATACCTTACTGAGCTTGTGGTGATTATCAAAACATTGGTGCATCTAACCTTGGGGTACCATAAAAGGGTACACTAAAGTCTGTACTACTCCGGTTGGTGATGAATTTCAACAGCTAATGATTCAAGAATTAGAAGTTATTATCCATTAACACTGAAAAAAGCTCCCTTCGAGTTTTTCGGAATCAATGAACCCAGAAACCATACTGACGATGCAGCAAATTATACAAATATTAATTTTCATAATTCACTGGGAACTACTTCGGAGGGATTCTGGATGATAAAAGGTATTTTCTCCCTCCTTTCTGCATCCTTCGTGGTGTAACTGAAAGCACGATAGACGCATATTCAGGAGGTCTGGAGTTTGAATCAGGTGAGGGCACTGCAGATTTTTTCAATTTCCTGTCTTCAAAAAATTCTAAAAGAACTCTACAAGGGGCGGCCGAAGTAAAAGGTGGTGTACAATAATTTGTCACCATCAGGATTTGGAGATTGGGTCCCCTCATCGCCAGTCGAGCTTTAAAAGAGAGAGTGTTTAAGATATTTTCTCTTTTTCTGGGTATGCTTTGTGCACTGGAAGCATGCTCGCCCGGCGAGGGCATTTAGAATTCCTTCAGTTCCTGAGTATGTGCATAAAAGCTAAGAGGTTCTTATGAGAATCTGTGTATTAATTATTTAGAGATAGAGATTAGAAATCTGATGCACATAGGCCTTTTTGGCTATGGATCGTAAAATCCACTATCCATCCATCATATCTTAAATGTTGGATGTAAAAACAATCTCTCTCCATAATCAAATCCATAATGATATATTCATCTTCTACCTTTACAAAGTAAAGCGTTCAGAATTATTACGGTGCTCAATATTTCGTTTGGAATTCTACTCTTCATGCGAGCTAATAATGAACTAATCACCATTTTTTTAACGTATTTACTACGATTGTAAAGTTCAGAACTTTGCGTTCATAAGTAATATTGGAAACCATTTTAAAAAAAGCCCACGTGTTGTTTTTCAAAAATGTAAGATCACAGTATGGTTAAAGAATCAATACCAGTGCTTTGAATTTAGGATCTCACCAGCGGTTGAGCATTAAAGCCGCTGAACACGGGTAGTTTGACCGAGGTTTGATTTCAGGTGAACGGGTTGGCTACATAGGCATTTTTGTAGTTTTTTTTTACTTCATTGTACGAAATATTGTAATCGCGGAAAATTTCAGATACCATATTTCAAGGGAAATATACATTTTGGCCGTTCCTGAATCATTTTGGACGATTTTTTTTTTTTTCGTGATGTCTGTATGTACCGACAGAATAAAGGACTTTTTTCCCCAAAACAGATTGTAAAATGGATTTAAAGTGGATTCAAAAGAATTCGCTCAGATTTCAAATTGCGTAAGTTTAGATAGTTTTATATTTCTTAGACGCCATTGAAATACTAGTTTAATTTTTAAATCCTTTTTTTTTTTTTTAATTTTTAATCCTTTTTTGATATCCTATGGATTTAACAGTTTGGAAAATGCCCATGACGAAAAGTCTCCAACAGAATTTTTTTCAAAGAATATGCATCATTCATTATAGAAAATTATGTTTGAACAAATTATGCTTTAGCAATAACTCGGTAGCGAAATAGCGATGCAGGAATCCATTCAGTTATGTGTAGCCTTTTTTTATATAAATTATAATAATAAAAAGTATTATATGAAATTAACCGTTCATCTAAATTAAAACAATAATCTTAGATAGTTATTTACTATTATACTTCCTTTCTTGCGTTAGGGTTGCCGTAATTATTTTTGGGAGCACTGGCATCAACAATAGTTTGGCGATTTTTTACGGTCCTCAAAACGGAATATTACCAAATTTTGTATATAGGACTGCTATAACATCTACTTGTGCACCTTCCTCTTTTTTACTGCAATTGCCAGAACTAAGCGTATATATTATACAAACCCATACCCTTACACGGCTTAGAAATGTTCTTACCAGGCCTTTATTTTCGCAATCGTTAGTCGCAATTATATACTTCCAGTTACAAAAGTGTTTTAAATGGCAAAATTATTCATATTTTGGAAATATGAAATATTTTAAAAATTTAATTTTCGACAAATAACGAAATTTAACTTTTAATGTGGTCTCCATTTTCATATACTTATATTTAGGTTTATATAAAAATAAGTTTTATACTCGTAATGGAAAAAGCAAATTAGAAGAAATTTGACTACTTAAAAAAAAAAAAAAAAAAAGAAGAAGAAGAAGAAGACTGTATTTAATTTTAAAATTTTTAACTTGCCTTGAGAGATCGGTTCATTAAGCTAGAATAACTAAGTTAATTGAGTTGAGTTTAAATGAAGTGCAGCAAAAAATCTGCATAATTTAATATGCCGTACAAAGAAATCATGCGGCGTTCACATCACATTTTTTTAAACATAAATATGAGTTAGTTTCCCTTAGAAAGTGTCCCACGAAGGCTTCGTCGCAAAAATATCAGAAGTCAATAGCAAAAAATTATGAGATCGGTTTAACTAGGATCCATGTAATTCAGCGTTTTTTTAAACACTTTCTGACATTGTTGGAGGAATGGGATGGTTTTTCCCCCTCCTGTAAAAATTAGATCTTTTTTCACATAGCCCCTTTTTACACCTTCCGATTCCGTTAATTGTAATATAAATATTTCATTGTATACTTAGTAACTTTTACTACTAACGTCAAACCACTCAATTATGTTTCATTCATCTTGTATATCAAAGAGAAATTTGTTACATTTTTTTTCAACTTAGGAGTAGGTGATAGAAAATTATGCTGAACTATTGACATGTTCGTCGTATCAGTTAGCTTTCTGAAAATCGAAAGATAACAAAATTTTATTTTGAAAAATACATTTCAAACATCCTTTTGTAATGTTGATATCCTAATTATGATTAAAACCCAGTTCAGAAATTGATAAGTAATTACTACTATTTGAACAAAGAGATCCATTCAGTACTATGCTTACATAATTTGAGTATAGCACTGAATGGAATTATTATTAGTTAACGCAGGTGTTATAAAACATTCCATTTTTATTTGCACCATAAATAGTGTAACACACATCGAAATCATATTCATACGTATAGCAAAAACATCACGAATAAACATTTGCAACTCTTGTAGGGATGCTTTTCATTAGAAACTTGTTTACGCGTGATTTTCAAAATAAGGAATCCAATGGGATAATATCTATACTTTGTGGAAGCAAAGAAATAGGCCTATTTCTCCCAGTCTAACTGATATGGTAAACAAATGCTTAACATATCGCTGAAAAGTGCAGGCAGGCTCCAGCTTGGGGAAATCTGATAATGATAGGCTTCTTCTATACATTTATACTCTTCATTCAAAGAAATAAAAAACTGTGTCGTATATCTTGATACATGCTGACTTCAACAATAACATAAAACTCCATTATTATTTTTCGGATACCTTGTATTTAAGTTTTCAATAAAAATTTAATAACTCGTTTATTACCTGTTCCTGTTTGACCATGTACATTTCGAAACATATGTTACTAAAAGTATATTCATCTGTATAGCATGAAATTTCAGTAATATTTTATGATTTCGGGAATTCCTAATAATTTAAATATTTTTAGGGTGTTATTGGATATATGGAGCATATGAACCAGATTACTACAATGAAGACAATTCACAGTATTGTCATAAAACTTTGTATCAGTTTTCTTTTTGGCTCTTGAACTCTATCTTTCTCACATTATCATTATTTGCCGTCTTGTTTTCTGTGTACATAGTATTTGGAAGAGAACAAGCTCACGACATTGGAACTAAAGTATGAAGTCATACAATAAAACTATAAAATTGTGATGTAAAGCATTTTTTTTAACTGTGGAAGTTCAGATCATATCTAAATTTTGATTTCGAATAAATACTTGTTATTTACATAAAAAGTGCTGTGTGTGCTGAATTGTGATGTGATCAGTTTTCTTTTTGATACAAATTATTTTAATATAAATAAACAGAGAAAATACACTCCAATTTAAAATTAATTTAATAACAAAATATACGAAATTTAATACTTTAAAAAATTTGATAATCAAATAATGCATTTGATCACACGAAGACTTAATTCAATTCTGTTTAACACTATTTCATTTTCTATTAAATATTTTATTCATCAACATAATTCCTTTAATTACTTAAGAATACTTATTTGTCTCATTGATATATTTAAGGCAGCGATAAGCTTTTTGACGCGCGATGCAACTTTTGCAAATCGTAAATTCTGTGGCCTGGGGCAGCAGCAACTCTTACACCACCCTTGCATACTCTAATTCAAGTGTTCCCAACATTATGCCCGCGGGCACCGATCGTTTGACTTGAGCCTGCCGCTGTGCGATTACAATAAAAATGTTTTGGTTTTCAAAAATATTCTATGTAAAAGTTTTCTTATTTTTAATGAAATAGAAATTTTGTCCAGGTACCAGCAGAAAGCGAAATGTGACCGATCTCTTTTCTTTTTTATGTGCATGTATTATTAACTCTATCCAACTATAAATTCACTTTGAAAAAGTAAATGGTGCCCGCCGTCCAACAGGTATTCTAGAATGTGCTCTTAGGGACAAAAAGTTTGGGGACCCTGCTCTAATTTAATACATCCACAGAAGGTACAGAGCCAGTTTTTCTTCAAATACAGTTTTCAAATAGTTAAGATATATTATAGCTCTGGCACAGGTACTGAATATGCCTCTACTGATTTCAAGCGCAACTTAATATAGGTTCGTATTGTTGCTCTTGGGAAAGTGAGAACTATGTCAGATAGCCTTTGAAATCGCTACAATTTTATTAAAAATCTAAACGTTGTCTTAATTACAAGGGCGTATCTCTTTTACAATTATATTATTCACTTCGTTTTCCCCAGAGTAATGGTTTTCTTGGGTAAATAATGGGTTATTATGTGTACCTCTTTCTCTCCACATCAGGACTTTCCTGTCACCCAGCTGTATGCAATTAAGCACGACTTATCGTAGATTAGACTATTACTCCATCGATTCCTTGTCCAGTTGCCATGTTCCTGTGAGTACTCTTTGCAAGTTGTAACAGTAGTGTACTATCAGCTTACAAGCATATAATGTAACCGCCCTGCACAGCCGATTTCTAACAGTTTGTGTCGAATATTTTCCTTCGTAGTTATTAAAAGTTTAAATTGCAGAAGCTTATGCTAGTTGACCATCAACGATTAAAAGTAATCAGTCCTCGCAATGAAGGTTTCCGACACTGAACTCTCAATTCTTTTCTCTCTCTGTGTATGTGTGTATATAATTCAGAATCAGGCCGATCAACACACATTGTCGTCAGGGGGTTGGTGTAACTTCTTTCGTTACACCAACCCCCTGACGACAATGTGGCAAAGGAAGTAAATACCTTTTTTTCCTTGGCAGTTTTCATTTTTGGTTTTTGAACCTTTTCATGTAATTTTTCACGGAGTTTCTGGAGTTTATTTTCAGTGGTTTGTTCTCGGTGACTATGGGATGGATTTAAATGTTTAATTTTTATTTTACAGTATTACCACCGCTGTTACAGTTGCCGCTATTAGTGCATAGTTGGATTATTTTTTAAACTGCTTTTTACATTGTATTTATTCATTATATATATATATATATACAAACATACATGAATCTGCTCATCTAGAAATACGTAATATCGTAAAACGTAGCCATGTAGCCGCTAATATTCTACAGACAGGCAGTTAAATAATTGAAAAAATAATGAGATTTCGAAATTAGTACCTTTTTAAGTTAACGAAAAAAATCCCAAAGATTTTCGCTAGAAATCCGAAGCAATTCACAACATTTGGTTTTGAATTTCTTATAAATAGCGCCACAGCACACTGGCTTAAGGTAGTTTCTGCAATATATTTAGATTGTCAAGAAAGAAGTGTAAGATAGAAAATAAATATATTTTTCTTTTCATTCAAGTGTAGTATCTTGCATTCAAGCCTTTTACACCAGCAAAAAGCACAGCAAAATTTTCGTGCAGATGGTTACCCAAAAGATATAATGATTTTTGTCTTCATCACAGATCTTTTCTCTTATTGCCAAAATCTCAAACACCTCAAAGCAAATCACTGCCACTACGTTCACTTCCAGAATGCTAGCAATCTTTTCAGTTCTGTGCAGTGAAACCACATCGTACACGTTACTTCTATTTATATGGTTTGTGTATTTATCACATTAACACTTTTTTTACTGTTATTTTAGACCTAAAAGATCTCTCGCATGATTATATATATATATATAAATAAATAAATATTACAATAAATTTCTTACTTAATTTAAAAATTTTTAACAAAAATTTTCAAAAATTTAAATATTGAATTTTACTTTAAAAAAATTTTTTTGGTACTTTATTTCAAAACCATTTTCGATTTTTTATGACCCTTAATAGTTTGCAACCATTTTTTTCACATTACGTTACAGTTAGCATTTTTACAATACTTCACAGTTAGCAGAATTTTTGCAACAGAACACATATTTTACATTACTTAAAAGTTTATAGAATAAGTTTTTAAAATGATCTAACAGATAGCAGCTTAACACTCAAGTTAACCTTATATTAGCGCCCTCTGTTTATAAAGTTAGAAGAAACACACTACTTAACATCACTTAGCTTGGCAAATGCTGCTCCACTCTCCAAATACAAATATAGTTGGTAAGTTAAATTAAATCTTAGTATTTACTTGCCTTTTTAGAATTATTTATATATATTTTATAAATAGTATCTAGTTTCTTTTTGATTTATATGCATAATTCGTGTCCAGGAAGTTTTCTGTAGGCAAGTTTCTAAATTACTTTTTCTACTCTTAATTGACCTTTTTTTAATTTCAATTCTAGTCTTTACTTGCTATTTTCTCAAAATTCCACTTGTTTAAATTTCTTTTTAGTAATTCACAACATTTGGTTTTGAATTTTGCTTTTACCCTTGCCTGCATGGATGACGAAACACGAATTGAATAATTGAAGAGTTAGGTTTGGAGGCAACTTCCCCTTGATAAGTCTGTCTCCTGCCTGCTCAACAATTATTCACTTATGCATTTTTATAAATTTTTTAGGATTAAAACATTTTTTAGAATTATATATTCACATATTTTGATATTTGCACTTGATTTACATATGCTTTCAGAATTTAAATGATATTGTAGATTAGTTTGCAGCAATAATTAATCGTTTATTTGTAATTCAATTTCATTATTTAACATTTAATTAACTTTAAATTTGCTCTTACGAATAGAGAATGTTTGTTAAATTATATATATATATTTCAAATAATGATTTGAGAACAATCTAACGCCTTTTTCCATATAAGTTAATGGTAATTTTTCTTCATTTGACGCTGTTTTGGTTTATGAAAAAATTTCAGGAACACTCTATTTTTGAAAATTTTAGAAAATTATAGTTGGCAGTGATTCCTTGACCATTGTTTACCCGCCGAGAGAGAATAATATTGCTATGTAGAGTTTAATGCATTATTTACGCATCTTGCAGAGCCTGTTTATTTTAGTGAATTGATTACTGAACCTGAGTGTTCTACACTTACTGACTCAACAATATCTTTAATTCAGCAAAACTATGTCGCTAAAAATTATCAGCACAAAGAAAATTAATATTTTGTTCAAGTTCGATTCTTGGTGACTGTCTAATCTTCATGGTTTTAATGTACTCCATTAAAGCGGTTTAAATAAAAATAATATGAGAGAGAGATAATGTGATAGAGTTCAAGAGAAAATAAAAGTAAAAAGAATTATTCTATGTTTTACAGTAAGCATCATTCTACTTTAGTCATATGTTGGCACTTTTCGGTCCTGGTCTGCAGAGTATTGAAGGCTGATCAAAGGGCAGTTAATGAGATAATCTCAATCATAAAACAAATGTTCTGCTCTTGTTCCTAAAAAATGCGAAGAGTGGAGAGATACGCTTTCGACTTTAGTGTTCCCACAGATAATGATCTGAGATGGACCAAGCTGTCTTGTTCTTTACTGAGAATTGTATCATGAGCGAACATTTCGCGAAACTACTTTCGATCCAAGCAATAAATGTAACAAAGTATCTTACTACTTCACAAATGGGCTCTTCCTACCTTCTCCTCAGGGCTACTTGTATTTGCATCATGTTAATAAAATTACACTAATGTTTGTGAAATTTGCAACACCATGAAGGAATTATGCAAATTGAACCAAACTTAACAGGGAATGTAAAGTGAGGTAAGACACGCAAATGATTAGAATTATAAAGCGATTTCGCTTGCGTAGGGCCCACCAGCGGCCGAGCGGTAACGTCGCTGAACACTGGTAGCTCGGTCCGAGGTTCGAATCCCGAGAACGGGCTGGCTGCATGGGTGTTTTCTCCATGTGCAACGTGTATACGAGACAGTAGTCCTTAGAAAATCCTCCACGAAGACATCCCTCCCTTAAGGCAGATAGCCCTCGAGTGCTTTGCCGTAATCTAATAAACCAAACCAATTGCTTGCGTAGAATGCGAACCGAACGCTTGTCCCATGTATATATAAGACTGCAAAGTTGCGTTGCAATATATTTATCGTCCTCCGTCTCCTGTGAACATTAAATTTAGAGGTCAGTATACCTGGTCAACAGTGGAGGGTGCCATACCAACATGAGTTCGAACGAGTTTCGCATCGCAGGTATGCGAGAGGGTTGACTTTCGTAATCGACAATCGCAGCACGCAAGCAGCGTAATGCCACAACAGTGATGCATGTTTGGAAGAAATGGACAGAGGAGAACCAAACAAGGCGAAATCCTGGCAGTGGGGCACGCAATTGCACAATGGCACGTGACTGCAAAACCTTCATTCACATGACTATGACGGATCGTACAGCATCTTCTAGTGTGTTAGCACAACGTTGCAGCACGCCTACGGGTGTTGTGTTGTCTAG